CTTAAGGTCCTGTCAACAAAAACAACCACATTTTGAGATAATGGGGCTTAGGCATTAAACATGTGGGAATATGGGGGATCCATAATTCAGTCCTCAGAAGGGATAAATCTTCATAACCTTCATCTGGCAATGGATTCGTAAATATGATGACAAAAGCATCAGTAACAAAAGAAGAAACAGATACATTGAATTTCATAAAAATCCAAAATATTTCTGCATCAAAGAACATTAACAAGACAGTGAAAGCACAACCTAGAAAATAGGATAAGAATCTTGTGGCATGCATATATCTAATAAAGGTCTAGTATCCAGAACACATGAAAAACATTTACAACTCAACAAGTAGCCAAGAAATCTGAATGAGAAATGAGCATAGACTGTGAATACAAATTTTTCCAAACAAGATACACAAATGCGCCATAAGGATGTGAAAATAAGCTTAACATCATTAGTCATTAGGGAAATACAAGGAAAAACCACCACATGATGTCACAGTACATTAAAAATGATGAGTAAGTAGAATTTTTTAAGTGAAAAATAAAACATATTTACGAGGATGTAGAGGCACTGGGATCCCTGTACATTACTGTTGGGAAATGCCAAAGAATGTTCAAACTACCACACAATTGCACTCATTTCTCATGCTGGCAAGGTAATGGTCAAAATCCTTCAAGCTAGGTTTCAACAGTATGTGAACTGAGAACTTTCAGATTTACAAGCTGGATTTAGAAAAGGCAGAAGAATCAGAGATTAAACTGCCAACATCCATTGGATCATAGAACAAATTCCAGAAAAACATCTACTTATGCTCCACTGACTATGTTAAGCCTTTCCCCGTGTGGATCACAAGAAACCATGGAAAATTCTTAAGGAGACAGGAATACCAGACCATCTTACAAGCATCAGTTAGAACTGGACATGGACCAACAGACTGGTTCGAAATTGGGAAAGGAGTACATCAAGTCTGTATATTGTCACCCTGTTATTTAACTTATATGCAGAATACATCATGGGAAATGCTGTGCTGGATGAAAGACAAGCTGGAATCAAGACTGCCAAGAGAAATATCAATAACCTCAGATATGAAGACGACACAAACTTTATGGCAGAAAGCAAAAGGGAGTTAAAGAGCCTCTTGATGAAGGTGAAAGACTAGAGTGAAAAGCTGATTAAAAGCTCAACATTCAAAAAAACTAAGATCATGGCATTTGGTCCCATCACTTAATGGCAAATAGATGGGGAAACAATGGAAACAGTGACAGATTTATTTTCTTAGGCTCCAAAGTCACTGCAGATGGTGATTGCAGCCATGAAATTAAAAGATGCTTGCTCCTTGGAAGAAAAGCTATGACAAACCTAGACAGTGAATTAAAAAGCTGAGACATTACTTTGATGGAGTGAAGTGAAGTTGCCCAGTTGTGTCCAACTCTTTGCGACCCCATGGACTGTAGCCTACCAGGCTCCTCCCTCCATGGGATTCTCTAGGCAAGAATACTGGAGTGGGTTGCCATTTCCTTCTCTCAATTGAGGGTAGATATCTGGGTTTATTTCCAGACTTTGATGACAAAAGTCCATATAGTCAAAGTTTTTCCAGTAGTCATGTATGGATGTGAGAGTTGGACCATAAAGAAGGCCGAGCACCAAAGAATTGATGCATTCGAACTGCAGTGTTGGAGAACACTCTTGAGAGTCGCTTGGACTGCAAGGAAATCAAACCAGTCAATGCTAAAGGAAATCAACCCTGAATGTTCACTGGAAGGACTGATGCTGAAACTGAAGCTCCCATACTTTGGCCACCTGATGCTAAGAGCCAACTCATTGGAATAGACTCTGATGCTGGGAAAGATAGAAGGCAGGAGGAGAAGGGGACAACAGAGGACGACATGGTTGGATGGCATCACCAACTCTATGGACATGAGTTTGAGCAAACTCCGAGAGATAGTGAAGGAAAGGGAAGCCTGGCGTGCTGCAGTCCATGGGATTGCAAAAAGTCAGGCACAGCTGAGCGGCAGAACAACTGGACAACAGCAAGTAGCTGTAGAAAAGAGTCTGAAAGCTCCTGAAAGAGTTAAAAGCCTTATGGTTGTCTCATCAATTCCACTGTTAACTACATAAGCCAAAGAATTAGAAGTATTTGTTCAAACAAGAGGTAACAAAAAGTTCTATGCCCATGTTCATAGCAGCCCTAACCGAAATGGGAACCCAAATGGGAAACATCCCAAGGATCCATCAACTTGTCCTCAACTTGTTTCACATTCATGAACAAAAGTGATCCTGTCACTTTTTGCGGCATAGCATTCAGCCGCAAAAAGGAATGAGAGAGGCCAGACACAAAAGGTCACATATTGTAGGATTTTATTTCTCTCCGCTATCTAGAAAAGGTAAGTTCATAGAGGTAAACAGAAGGTTAGTAGTTATCAGAGCCTGGTTGCAGTGAGGGGGAAATGGAAAAGGACTGATTACTGGCATGGGGTTTCCTTTAGGAGTGATGATTTATTTGGGGACAACAGAGAGAAAGGCTGAAAAGCATTGTGAATGTACTAAATGCCTGTGACATTCACCACAATAGTGCAATAATATTTTTTAAACATAAAAAGTGCTTATTGGCTTAAGACTTCTGCAAATAGACTGGGAATTGACTTCAACAAATGCTGGGCTTCCTTTGTGGCTCAGCTGGTAAAGAATCCACCCGCAATGCGGGAGACCTGGGTTTGATCCCTGGATTTGGAAGATCCACTGGAGAAGGGAATGGCTACCTACTCCAGTATTCTAGCCCGGAGAATTCCATGGACTGTGTAGTCCATGGGGTCGCAAACAGTTGGACATGACTGAGTGACTTTCACTTTTCAACAACTGCTAAAATGCATCCTTTAGGAAAACTTTTTGAACATAATACCAGGGAACAACATAGAGGAATACTTGAAGATACCACTAAATTTTTTAAAGATGCCCCTATAGTGTTAAGGGAGATACTGAAGATAGCCAATAGATTTATTTGCCTTAAGAATCTTATTATTGTGGTGTTTCAGTGCTCCAGATCATAGAAGCCATTCTCCTAAAATATCCCGTAGTGGGCATAGGCTCTTGGACATATGGCTCATAAAGTTAAATTGAGTCTTTGTCACTTAGAAATGGGCTTGACAGCTTGGGACCCAATGGACTATCCCCGTTGAAAATACTGAGTATGAGTTAGGTAAAACAAAACAAGGCCAATATAAGGGGTGAAATCTATAATGCATAAGTTCTATGTAGGGAAGGGTTGATTATCTTCACTGTGTCTCCTACTAAAGGCCATAACTCCCAAATACCATCATCTGGGGGATGGAGTGGGTAAACATTTAAATATATGAATTTGGGAGGGGGTGTCACTGTTTAGTGTAGAGCAGGTGATTAGCCCAGTCATGAAAAGAAGTCTCTATTCATTTCTTGGAGCCATGAAGTGAATTGGGGAGCCCTGATGAATCCCTTTTCAGCTCCTATTTTTACTCCTTCCACTCTCCATTCTCCATTCTTGAGGCATCCATGTAAACTTGTATGTTCTTTTCTAAGTAGCTTTAGCAACATTAAAACCTCCAAATTCTCCTTCTGTCTCTCACAGGAGCTTTAAACAGTTGCTCATATGTGATCTATACACTTTATCTTTTTCTTCTTAATACATGTATATATATGTGTGTGTGTGTGTGTGTGTATACGTGTGTGTGTGTATATATATATATATATATATATGTATGTTATTGACATATAGTTGACTTACAAAGTTTCAGGTGCACAGCAAGGTGATTCAGTTATACATATACACATATATTATTTTTCAGTTTATTTTCCATTATGGGTATTTCAAGAGATTGACAAAGGAATTACAGTTCTCAGTGTTATATAGTAAAACTTTGTTGGTTGTTGCACATCTTTTTTTTAAATTAGAAATCTAGCATTCTATTCATACTAAGTCAAACAAGTGGAATCAATCTGTCATAAATTTTTTAGTTAGGCAAACATTAATAAGTTTTCTAAAATATATATTATACATACTAGTGAGTAACTATTATTCACTTAATACCATTGTACCATGATTGGGTAACAGAAAAGTAATAGAATTCTATATCACCAAAGCTACCATTTAATAGAAAAACCTGTAATCACTCTTTAAAATCCTGACACATATCAGAATTATCTTAGAATTTTTTGAAAAAATGCCAAGGTATTGCTTTTATTCTCCAAAGCCACAGATATGTTGCTAATGAGCAGCCATGCTTAAAATCAACTGGACCATAATGATGATCTTTTAGTTTTATCTAGTTTGTTTCATTTTTTTCCTACTTCCTACTTGGTGCTCCTGTTTAATTTATTTTATGTTTTCCAATTTCTCCATCTCTTTCTTTTGATGTTCTTTCTCAAGCCTTTATTAACTTTTTAAAGTAAGTGTATCTCTGATGACCTGAGCTGACACAAGGTGGCAACTGGGGACCACACACAGCTTCTCATACCCCAGGGTGCCGCCCTACAGGGGCATTGTGGTTTTGTTTTTGCAATGGTGCAATGTAAAGGAAGGGACTCTTGTGGGCTCCAAGTATGACCTGGGGCTGGAAGGCTTCCCTGCCGTCTCAAAGCCTTGATCACTCATTGGACGGCGGTCATGCCAACCCTTGCCTCCTGGCAAATGAGCTTAGAACTGGCGTTGGAGGAAGTGGTCCCCGGTTGACCCTTCCAGCTCCACCTACCGCCGCCAGCCCATCAGGGTCTTTCCCGCCTGTCCAGCCATCTCAGCCTCGGCCTGGTGGGCCGGTCTGCGGGCCGCCCTCTTGAAGTTCCTGTTGTGGGGCCTACACCAGCAACTCGCAGACTCCTGTTCCCTGTGCAGCCATAGTCTCTGCCGTCCGCACCCCCACCCTGCGGTCCCACTGCCAACAGTGTCTCCTCGGCGCGACACTCAGCCCGGCGGCCGCCATCTTCCCCGCAGACGTCACTGCAGGCGCATCACTGTCTGGCACGTCTGTCCTGCCATGTCTGCCACAGAGGAGCACGACTGGATCCCAGGTGGCCAGGATAGAGCTGGTGGCGGGGCGGGCCGCGACCCCAGTCTCCTTGGGGTCCAGGCATCCGCTTGGGAGGGGATGGAAGGAGTCGAGGAGGCCACGGCTCTTCTGGCCTCCTTGGAGGTCTCCAGAGCCCTTCCCGGGGAGCAGGGTTGGCCACAGGCCACAGTGGAAGAGAAATGTGATAGAGAGCCGTTAGAGGAGGAGGAGATGGAGGAAGATGTAGAGGAGATGGAGGAGGAGGACGAGGAAGAGGGTGAGGCTGATTTCGAGTTGGAGGACGTGGAGGAGGAGGAGCACCTGTCGGGAGAGGTCGAGGAAGAGGAGGACACAGAAGAGGAGGACGAGAATGAGCAGGACGGTGCGGCAGTGGTTACAGGCCTTGGGTTCTCTGCGGAGAGGTTTGGGCCCCTGTTCTGGAGTCAGGTCGACTCCTTTCTACGCAATTTACATAACAACAAACATGTCCTCTTCCGGCCTCACGCTGACCGCCTGATGGCCAGGGGCCGCTCCCAGCCACTCTTGGACCCTGGAGAAGGTCCCGTGCCTCCTCAGGAGCAGGAAGACCTGGGAGAGGGAGGCAAAGTCTTGCAGGGTGAGTACCCAGTGGAGGGCGCTCCACCCTGGGAGCTGCGGAATCCTGCGGAGGGGGTTGCATCCTAGAAGGCAGGGGAACCGGCAGTGGAGGCCGAGTTCTGGGCGAGGGAGCCCTGACTGCTGCCTCTGAGACTGGGAGGTTGAGGCCTGTGGCCCCGGAGGGGCCGAGGTGGGCAAGTGGTGGCTAAGCCTTCAGGCCCTTGTGGGGCCATTGAGCTCAAAGGCAGGTCTCTGGCAGTCAAGCAGACGGTCAAAACTCTCAAAAACCCCTGGGCACAATTTGCACAAGTGGAAGGCCAATTCTATAGACCTTCATGGTCTCGAGATAAAGCATGCTGCCTTCAACCAACCTAGAGGCAAACAAGTGGCATTCCTCCCTTTTGGTCAATGGCTTTAAAAAATGTGAATATTCTCGGTAGGAGGATCTCAGCAAATGGTGACATAGCACAGGGGCACTTTTCAGCGATTGAGGAATCTCCCATAGAATTTTTTTTTTTTATAGCCTTACTTGAATGTGGGCTGTTTATTTATTTTTTCATTTATTTTTATTAGTTGGAGGCTAATTACTTTACAATATTGTAGTGATTTTAGCCATACATTGACATGAATCAGCCATTTGTCTTTAAATCAAAAGAACATTTTTTCCATTGAGGTTCCGACAAACACATAGAAAATGGTATCAGTATCAAATGATTCGGATCCCTTCTCCAAAGGGGCCAGAAATAATCAGATCTGTGTGAGATCTACTGGAAAGGGGGGAAAAATGTTTGTGAAAATTGTCAAGCAGCAGACATGGGGGTGGGGGCTAGAAATGTATCAAACAGTAGAAACATGTCCAGCTATTATTTGTTTTTTCTTTTATTAAACATAGTCCTCTTCTCTCAGGCCTAGACTCTGCTGCTGATTTTAAGTTGGGATATTTTCCCTGCCAACTTTTGACACCAAAGTCTGCATCATTCTGCCCTAATGATGAGGGTGAGTATCAGTATGAAAACGCTGATGAAGAGGAAGAGGATGGAAATGAAAAACCTGAAGGACTCTAAATGGATATGGTCTCAGCAAGGAGCAGCTCTGGATAATACAGGTATGATCGTATAGGCTTTAGTATGACATAACCATTCCTGACGCATACCTGTCACTAACAGCTTTATATTTTTTTAATTTTTCTTCTGTAAAGTAAATAAGAAAATTGTTGAAACTTAATTTTGGAAAAACAGTTTATTGTTAATAATGTATTCTAGATAATGTAGGAGGCAGTATGTTCTGAAATGTATTTCATATACAGCCACGAGACCTTTGTCCTGTAGCTTTAAGTCTACTACAGATAGGAAATTTATCAGACCTGGAAATGGAGACCAGTGCTTCTTTAGAGAATCGTCACCAGAAGCAGCAGCTAAAGTGACCAGGCCATGCATTAGCTGTGTCATCATCACCTGGTCACAGAATTGTAGTCTCTTGTACTGACAATGACTTTGAGAAAGTGATTCCTTACAAAGTAGTAAGACGTTAAGGGTTTCAAGAGGACTGCATTTCAGGATTAATTCACAAATATTAGGTCAATTTAGATTTTTTATTCAAAAGAAAAGAAAATTAGTCTTAGTAAGATTATTGGTTATCACTGAGTTGGTAATTAAATATTTGTTTCTATTTCCTCTATTCATTCATCTTTTAGTCTCTCTCTCTCACCTTTCTTAGTTTTCATGCATGTGGATGTTTGATAAAGCCTCATTCTCATTTTACACAGGTGGAAACTGAAAGTCGGGAAATATAAGGGATTTATGATTTGTGTAAGGGAACACCAGTTTGTAAGGTGGAATGACTTATTTAAATCACAGTGTGGCCTTTCAAGGAAAAAGCAAGCATTTATAGTGGTGGGCAAGAGGGAAATAAGGTTTGCATGATGAAATGACATGCACCCTGATCACCAACGGTCTGGGTTACAAGAAGAAAACATTTTGTTTTCTCCTTGTTGAGAAAATAGATGTACATAGTATTGATTCATATTTAGAAAGTCAGTGGTGCATGTTATTGAGGTACAGTTGTTAACTGGCTCTTATTTCATCCTACAGTGGGAAGGTATAGAAAGAAGCAGACAGCAAAAGAAAAGATGCATTTGTTCTTCATGGATATTCTTGTTTTCATTAGCCTGAAATACTAATTTTGTTTCAAAGTTTCAATGCCCCACATGATACTAACTTCTGACATCTGACTTTACTCTTACCTTTTACAGATAATTTCGTATTATTGTTCACATTGGAAATAAAAGTTTGTTTGAAATTAATAAGCTGTAGTGTTGTGTGTTTTTTTCACATGAATAACACTGACTCAAATCTATCATTGTTCTATTTATTTTGGCCCACCTTACTGTCACTGAAAGGGATTTCTTTCAGCTATTTGTCAAGCCTGTTTTAAATCCTTTTATTGCAACCCCCCAAAAATTAAAATATAAGGTTGTAAGTAATTTGTGTGATGGTGCCCTAGCCTCTACTATATTTCATTGAAAGAAACTGATGGATGACCTAGCTTGTCTGGACCAGCAGCATCAGCATCACCTGGGAACTTGTTTGCAATGCACATTCTCAGACCATGCTCCAGACCTACTGAGTTGGAAATTCTGAAAGTAGGCTGCTAGCCATTAGGGTTTTACAGTCCTCCAGTTGCTACTAAAGCACACTGAAGTTTCAGAACCACTGCTTTAGAGCAGTGGGGGAAAGGTTTACTACATCTACTGTGGGATCATCCTTAATTCACTGACTTGGTATTGCAGGTAAACAAAACAGGGTGGTAAGATCTGGACTTAGGAAGACACTAGAACTCTCAGGGGTTTGAGACAGACAGCACTCTGGGAGGGGTGTGTTAGTATCCTAAGGTTGCCATAATAAATTACCACAAACCAGATGGCTTAAAACAACAGAAATAAATTCTCTCACAGTTCTGGAAGCCAGAAATCTGAGGTCAATATATAGGAAAGGGTGGTCCCTTGCAGAGGCTCTGAAGGAGAATCTGTTTCATGCCTCTCTCCTAGTTTCTGGTGGTTGCTGTCAATCGTTTTCACCGCTTGCCTTGTAAATGCATGATTCCAATCTCCATCTTCACATGGTGTTTTCCCCTGTCTGTTTCTGTGTCCTTTCTCTTCTCATAAGGATACCAGTCATACTGAATTAAGGACCCACCCTAATCCAGTATGACCTCATCTTAACTCTTATACCTGCAAATATCCTAGTTCCAAATGAAGTCACATTTACAGGTTCAAGGGGTAGAACTTCAACATATCTTTTCAGGGGGACAAAATACAGCTTATAACAAGGGGCAAAGATTCAGGGGTGGAAGTGACAAATATATAAAACCTACTTCTGAAAGGATAAAGGCATTATGATACCATACATATATGAAGTTTAAAAACATGCAACAGTTCTTATATTGATTATAGGTTCATATATTTGTAGTAAAAGTCATACTTTTTTTATACATAGGAGTGATGCATACATACGTAGCATGCAGACAGGTGTGTGTGAAAACAATAAATTATTTAGGACAGTGGTTAAATCTTATTCAATAGGGGGGAATTCAACTGGGGAGAGGTATAATGGCTTTAAATTTTATTTGTAATCTTTTGTTTTTATGATGAGCGATGGTTGCATGGGTGCAGTAATCTCTGTACCTTTGTCTAGGTCTGAAATATCTCCTCATCTAAAGAAAATTGCAAGGAGAAATGGGTCTAATATCTGGAACTTATTGAAGGAAAAATGTAAAGTGGTATTTGAGCAGAGTAGAGGATTAGAGAAGGAGAGTACCAGGGGTTTGAGGGTAGAAGGCCTTATTTCTATATTTAGTTAAGGCCACTTGAATGCTCACTAGTTAGCAGCAATACCTTTTCCTATTTTCTGTGCTAGTTCATCTCATATCCTTGAGTATATTAACATTATTTATTAATGTTTCTCCCCAACTCCCTGAAGTTTGAGCTTCTGAATCGTTGAGAACTTAAAAGCTTCTATTCGTCTCTTCTAAAGCATTGTGGTTTCTTCTTCATAGGTGCCTGATAAAGGTTTGTTAAAGTGGAGTTAGTATAAGGTATCCACAACCCTTTTCCATGACTCTGCCTTGTCCTTTGAGAATGTATTATCACATAGTAACACAGAGTATTCCTTATAGCTGGAACAAAGAAAAAAGGCACAAGACCTTTTTTCATTGCTGTTTAATGAAATAACAGTCCAAGTAGAAATTTATCCATGTAGTGTCACTTGAAAGGCTTCAGATTGGTTCTGTTTGGTTCATGCCATGCTAGGAGCGTGTGTGTGTGTTTGTGTGTGTGTGTGCACGTGTGTGTGTGTTTCTGTGTTAATATAGTTAATGTAATGTAATTCAATCGTGTACAACTCTTTGCAACCCTGTGGACTGTAGGCCTCCAGGCTCCTCTGTCCGTAGGAGTGTCTCACTGGAATGGGTTAGCATTTCCTCTTCCAGGGGATCTTCCCGACCCAGGGATTGAACCCGCACCTCACAGGTCTCCTGCATTGCAGAAAATTATTTAACACTGAGCCACCCACGTATAACCATAGTTAATATGAAAGGCCCTTATGCAGGCTTAAGAATTTTTGGAGGTTCACTTTAAACAAAAAAACACCTCTTTTTGAGATAAGCCTTTTTTGGTGCATACTCTTAAGTTCATGTCCCTGCCTCTTGTTATGGTCCAGGTACCTAGGACCCTGAATTTACTCCCTAAGTGGCCCCATGTCCCCAGCCCCAAGAGGCATGTGTGTTCCTCTTCACTGAGTCTGTGCTTCTAAGGCTTGAGTGGCACTGTCAGTGCTATACTCTCAGAACTGAGAGGAAGCTAAGAGGTGGTGGCTTTGTATACAGGCAACAGGACAAGTGGTCCACATTATCCACATAGATGTACGTGATGCCTCTCATGGTGAGGGAGGAAGCTCAGCCTTGCTTCACTGAAGGTTGCTGAAGCTCTAACATATCGGGCTTCTCTGGGTCTCTGAGAGGTGGTCCCTAAATCAGGTCAGGGACAAACCCTGCATTTTCTGTTACTCTGGGTGTTTGTGGGTTTCCTATTTTCACATGTATTGAATATATTCTCACTGAGTCCTTCAACCTTGAAAATTTTGGGCTTCTTTAGGATAAGACCTGTCTTGTATCTATCTGTCTCACCCAGGAAAGGTTAGGGTGCTTTGATATTTTCCTTGGTTATGGCTCATCTTCTGAAAGGATGTGATCCAAAACTCTCCTTTATTCCACCACCTGGGAGATTACCATTGGGAGAAAAAGAAAGGGGTATGGTGGGTGCCAGAGATGGAAACGATTTTCTGTTACCACTTAGGGATATTTTAATGATACTAAAGTTACTGATGAAGAATCATTGTACCCTAAGCCCCTTATTTTCAGATGCTTATAACTCCAAGGAATACAAATGAGTACACATTTATAACCCTAACATGGCAGGACTCTTAGAAAATGATGTTTTGTGAAATGTGGTATTATTAAGTCTTCTGTGATATGAGTCACATAATATCATAGCATAGGTTTTGAGGCATGAAATTTACATTTCTTAGAAGTCTAAGCAATGGTTTATGTGGGCATAGATGAGGAATTGATTTCATCACCAAATCCATGAAGAAAACCAGTTTAAAATTATTCTGAGAGGCACTTAAAGGTTGGCTCTTTTTCTCTCCCTCTCATTCAATTTGTTATTTATTCTAGTGCTTCTATTTCCATTTCCCACCATATGTTAGTCCCCATCAGTTCCTTATAAATTATGAACTATTTAGTATATACAGAAGATAATACAGCATATATGTAAGGTATATCATAATAATATAAAAACCTGTATACCCATCACCAAGCTTGAAAATTAGAACATAGCCAATGCTTTTGAATCCTACCTCTGCCTTCCCTGATTCACCTTCTCATTCCTTCCCAGAGGTAACAACTATCCTGAACTTTATTACTAATTCACTTATTTATACATTCACTGCATGGAAATGTTCCTTCAAATTACATTATTTCTTGTCCATTTTGGACTGTATGCAAATAT